TGAGGACCTTCTTTTGAACATGGCTTGACCTTTCATTTTTATGATTTTTTGAAGATAGGGTGAGAGAGGACGAATGAGGGTAAAGAAGACGAAATAGGCGAAAGAGGGTGAGAGAGAACGAAAAGAGGGTGAAAGAGGGTGAGAGAGATGAGAGAGGGTGGAGGAGAGACGAAAGAGGGTGAGAGAGATGAAAGAGGGTAAAGAGGACGAAAGAGGGTGAAGAGAACGAAGAGGGTGAGAGGGAAGAAAGAGTGTGAAAGAGGACGAAAGAGGTGAGAAAGAGGGTACGAGGGTGAAAGAGTGAGAGAGGGTGAGAGAGGACGAAAGAGTGTGAAAGAGGACGAAAGAGACGAAGAGGGTGAATATATATAAGAAAGAGGGTGAAAGAGGTGAGAGAGAATTGAAAGATGTTTTGAGGAGAGGACGAAGAGGTGATAGATGAATGAAAGGTGTGAAGATGACGAAATAGGTTTGAAATAGAACGAAAGAGGTAGAGGAATTAAAGATGGTGAAAGAGGACGAAAGAGGGTGAAAGAGTGTGAGAGAGTGAACTAAAGAGTGTGAAGAGGACGAAAAGGGTTGAAATAGGACAAAAGAGGTGAGATACGAAGAGGGTGAAAGATTTACTAATAGATTTTTGTAAAGATGAGGGAAAATGGGGTTTTGAAATTATAATGAATATTTTAAGAGGTTTATATAAAATAAATAATGTTATAAAGTACTAAAGAGGTTGAAATTTCTAAAGATTTGTAAAAAAACAAAAGATGTTTAAAGATTGCGAAATCTTACGAAATATTGTCTAAATATTTTTGAAATGTATTAAATAAATTCTTATTTATTACTAATATTTTGAAAGATTACTATATATTTTAAATATTTACAAAAATTTTAAGAGACTAAATAGAGTTAAAAGATTACTTAAATTTTGTTATATTTCCTGAAATAATGTTTAAAGATTGTTAGATGTGAATGAAATAGGTTGAGATTTACTAAATATTTTTAAAGATTCGAAGATTTTTAAATATTACGAAATATTTTAAAGAGGGTGAAATATTAACTAATAATTTTTATATTTAATGAAATATTTTTAAAAAAATCGTTCGAATATTTTTGTTTTTTTGATTTTGTTTTTTTTTTTTTTTTTTTTAAGTTACTTCTTATGTTTTAGGGAAAGGGGTGGGTGGTTATTGAGGGAGGTGTGAGTGAAGGTGAGAAGAGATTTATACGCGGACAGAGAAGAAGAAGAAGAAGAAGAAGAAGAAGAAGAAGACGACGTTTCTTAATTTTTCATGAAAAACGTCACTTTTTGGACCGCTTGTATCTCCGGAACGGCTTGACCGATTTTATTTTTTTCTTGGCTCAAATTACTCGTGGCGATGCCGCCTTGCAGGTTATGTTACGTGCAATTCAAATTTTATATTTTAGTAGTTCTACACCCCCAAAAAATGGACTTTGATGGTGCAGGATAAGGAGACTTGTAGTGTCTTTTAGGTCTTTTAGGGCCGGAGACACTACCGCGTCTCCTGATAAGTAAAATTAGATTTTTAATATTTCAGTAGTATATAGTAGATTCGCAACTGTCGTCAATAAATTGTCTTTATACCGCAATAGTTTTGACGACGGTCGTCAAAACAACCAAATTCGTCAAAACTGCCCGTTCTATATAAGAAAAAGTCATGGAAACTGCCCTGGATATATATATATATATATATATATATATATGTATATATATATAAATATTTTAACTAAAAGTATATACTGGCCTTGCTATCTACAATACAAGCTGAACTATTTCTGACGATTCATTGTCACTTTCTTCACTACTAATAGTGCCGTCGGCTTTGCGTTTACTGACGTATTATATTTACGATTTTCTTTAACTGGAGTCATCGTTTCGTATTTTTCCAAATTATCGCATGCTTGACGCATTTCGTCCCATTCTTTAAAAAATTGTAAAGCATAAAGTTAAATTAATTATCGACATAGTTTTATGAAATATACTTGTTAAATTAATAAATAAGATTTCACAGAATAAATACAAACATTTAAACTATGATTTACCAGTTTACTTTTCCCAGATTTCCGGGTTATCGCCACATTTAAAATTGCGAACATATATAGAAACAATTATAAATGTAGCAATAATATAACCTGGAAATCTGAAATAATTAAATAAATTTATACTTACTTCCAATTTGTAATAGTTTTGCCGGATAATAATTCGCCACTTTGTTTTATTCGGCACTGGCCATTTGACGTTGACAGTTCTCTTTTCTAATATGATTTCTTTAAGATAAGCAATAGTATTTTCCTCCTTCTGTAACTCTACCGTTTTGTTCAAAATGATCCAATTCACCTCTCCAACCCCAATACGATTTTCTTCGAAGAATTCGAAGAGACCTGCCAATTTCTTTGGCCATGCTATTGGCATTTTACCTTTAAATGTAACAAATAATATAATAAGTAAAATTTTAAGGTTTTCCTGAGTGTCTGGTATATTTTCATTAGCATTATATAAAAATGATATTAATAAAGGTGGACAAAATTTTGTGCAATATGTATACATATATGTGACAAGTATGGCCAAGTCTAAATTTCTCTTTTCCCGCGTCTTCTTTTTGCTTAGAGAAATTATCAATTATCTCAGACAGCATACATGCCTAAAATACATTCTGAAATAACAGAATGTCCTACAAAAGTCTTCACGATATCCTTTGGATGTCTTTTGATATGCATGCTGTGTGCTGTTAGGATATTATGATAGTGAAGAATATTTTCTTAATTCAGAAAATTGTTCTCATTTACCTTCTATTCGCCGCTTTTGGCGTAGCCTCTTATTTCCTTAATTAATTCCTCTGCAGCCCACGATCGTCTCGCAGAGATGATAATGGGCGTTGTTTGCGTGATTTTCAGGTCCGCTTCACAAATATAGTCTCCGTGTTCCGTGTGTCGCACTTTTGTATCACTTGTATCTTGTATCACTTCGTTCAATTTAACAAATAATCCGAATTCTTCGTGGTTTTCACTTTTTATTACACTTTTCACCATAAATTTCGTCCTCGCTGGCTTACCTAACCTATACTCTGTACCGAACCGCCGAACGAATATTGCTCAACCTGAACCGTGTGATTACGAAAAGATCGATTCTTGAATCGATTCTCTCAAGCCGGCTAAGAGCCAATAAGGCTGTGTTTCTTTTGGACGCTCATGCGCTGAAAGCATCTCTATCTTTGTTGTTCATCATACATCAAAAAAGAATAGAATGATGCTTTCAGCGCGTGAGCGGTCGAAAGAATGCAGCCAAGACTGACACCGACTCGCGGCAAAATCAGCTGTGTTTATTAGATTTATTGTGTTTGTTGTCGATCGATCACGGAATGTGTAAGTATTTTAATTAATTCATATAATGTATAATAGTTTATTGACTGTAAAATGAAAAATACATAAATGTAACTTGAAAATTACATAAATTTAATTTGAAAATTATAATTATATATGTAAAAGTCCAATAATCTTTCAATTTTCAAAATTAAAGGTTATGCAAAACAAGATAAATTAAAAATTGATATATATGGCTAATTACAATAAAAAACGATACTTGGCTTACTTATGGGCAGACGGTATTCCAATGCCCAAAAGAACTCGAGATCGTCGGCAAAGAAATGATGATAATGAAACGAATGATAATATTGATGATCAACATGCAGAAGATCAATTGCGTATTAATAATAATAAAATAATGAATCAAGAGCAAGCCGATATGTATGATGATGACAATTGTGAACTACGAGCTAACCAATTCGATAACTTTATTGTTGATGATGATAATAATAGTTACGACGATGACAATGATCGAGAGAATTTGGCAGATAATGATTATTATCGATTATCATTGGACAGTGATGATGATATTAGCGTCACAAGTGAACCGGCGGTATGTATTGTGTGATTTCTAGAAACCTATATGACATGGATAAAGCTAGATTCACACTATATTTGGTATGTTCCCCACACAGAATAAATAAAGGCCAAAAGATATCTTATAGATGTCTAAAAGACTCCGTTCTGCAAGCTTTTCATTTAATTTGAGAGAACAATTGAATATATTATTATTATACAATAATTTAATATTATACAATAAATTTAATACAAATCCATCAAAATAAACAATCAAATACTTGAATAACAGAACTAGTCTATGTCGAATCTAGCTTAATTTGGCAAAAATCACAAAAGCCTTAAATATTTTATATATGAATTATTGTATTGACAAGTATATAAAGTGTAAAAGCGATACACACACACATACATATACATATATTAATATATATATATATATATATATATATATATATATATACACATATATATTAATTATTAGGAGCTCTTGCACTGCAATATTACATACATAAAATATTTATAAAATGCATGTCTCATTCAGATAAATGAAATCATTCAGGAAAATGAAGCTGATTCTCATCAGCTTGCAGAAAATAATCGTTTTGATGACGAGATTCATGATGATAATGTCGATAATAATGATGATGAGGTATAATATATTTTAATTATATATTTTATCGACATGCTATAATAATCTATAAATAAGAGTAGAAATACTTAACAATATAGAGTATATCCATGACTATATATTTATATATGCATGACTATATAATTCTATTAATTGTTATAAAATTTATATTATAGGGGCAACAGAAATTGTATTGCGGAGCACGGATCACGAAGCGTGAAAGCGAATTTCTTATCATGTCTTTTTTTTAAGATATTCTCTTCCAGATAGAAGTTGGAAAAACTTTTTAAAATTAATTGATTGCCATTTGCCAGAGTCAAAGTATTCTACGAAATATCGGTTTTTGAAAAGATTTCCAAAAACAAAAGACTTTGATAAGCATTATTATTGCGCAATATGTGAAGACTATTTGGAGATTCCAAATAATAATGAACAAGTATTGTGCACATGTGGAGCTGTAAATAATAAAAAGAACTAGAGAAGAACGAAAAATTTTTCCTTGCAGGCAAAATATCTGAAAAATTGAAAGATATTTTAACTGATAAAAACGTCGTTAGTCATCTTCGCAAAAGTGAAGCTAGTGGAGTAACGTCAGGCAGAATATATAAAACGCTGCAAAGAAACGGAGTAATTGGAGAAAATGACATAACTCTGCAGTTCAATACCGACGGTGCGAATATTTTTAAGTCGTCAAGAAAATCACTCTGGCCAATACAAGTGGCGGTGAACGAGTTACCTTATCAAATCCGAAGAAGTAATATGATTTTAGCTGGACTTTGGGTTGGTGACGGTTCACCTCGAATGGATGTGTATTTCAAGCCCTTTATAAAAGAGATAACACAATTACACGAAGAGGGAATTATGTGTCCTATTCTTGAAAAGGGAAATGTCAACATCAAAGTTCATACTTTGATCGCAATTCTTGACTCCACTGCTAGACCGAAGGTTAATAATATTCAAATTTATCTATAATTATATAAACGCTCATATATGTATATACAGGTATGGCGCATTTCATTTTACATCGATGAAGATTTTCGAATTACCTCGTTGAAATTTCCCGTGATTTTTCATGTAATACTGTTATATAAAGTATCATTACTGAATTATTTTCAGATTTTTTAGTCCTTTCTTTGGTTCCAGAAATTTTAGAAAATTCAAGTGAAAACGATTGTTATTTGTTCAACTCGTAATGTCTTTTAAACTATTACAGATATAGAACCAAAATTGCTCAGAAAAAGATATTTTTAAGATGATATTAAGAAAAATTATGTTAATAATGTTTTCTTTACATAAATTAAAAATTATATTTAAAAATGGTTTTTTTTATGATCTTTCCCAAAATAAAAATTGCTTTTTTTTTTTACTGAAAATACGTTTATACTCAAAATATACAGGAAATAACAATTGGACCGTGATTTAGTAATAAAAAATTGAAGTCGCGCAAAAAAAATTTTATATATATTACTAGTAATATATGTAAAATTATTTTTGGATGCGCTATTTCAATTTTTTATTACTAAATCACAGTTCAAGTGTTATTTCCTGTATATTTTGAGTAACCGTATTTTCAGTAAAAAAAATAAGCAATTTTTATTTTGGGAAAGATCATAAAGTATAATCTTTTAATATTATTTTTAATTATTTGTAAGCAAAAATTGTTAACATAAATTTTGTATAAATACCACCTTAAAGATTATAGTTTTATGAGTAATTTGTATTGTATGTTTTTTCGACTTTTTATATACTCTAAATATATTACAACTTAAACAAAATAAACAATTTTTTAATTTCAATATTTTAAAATTTCTAGAGCTTAATAAAGAACAAAAAATGAAAAAAATTCAGTATTTGTATTTCATATAGTTATTACATGAAAAAATTAAATATCTCAAAGATACATACAATACATTTGCAGATACAGGAATTTAACCAATTCAATGGCGAGGGTGGATGTCCATTTTGTCTCAATCTCGGAGAGACAATGGAAAAAGGACGTGGCTACATTCGCATTTACCGGCCATTTATTGGGACTCTTCGAACTTCCCAGCAAGTGTTGATTGACGCAGAAAATGCTATTAATCAAAATGAATCTGTCAATGGAGTAAAAGGATTTTCCCCATTATCAATAGTGCCTATTTTTGATGTTGTTCGGTCATATGTTCCGGACTACATGCATGCCAATCTTTTAGGAACAATACGAACCTTTTGCGAAATATGGTTTAATAGTACTTATCATAATCGACCGTGGTATATTGGTAACAAAAGAAATCAAGTAAACCAACGGCTTTTATCAATAAAACCACCTACGGAAATACGACGCACACCTTCGAGCATAGAAAAGCGAGCTTTATGGAAAGCTACGGACTGGCGAAATTTCGGGATGTACTACTCATTAGTAGTTTTACGCGGTATATTGCCAACTAAATACTATGAGCATTGGTTTTTGTTAGTCTTCACTTTGCGTTTACTATTAAAAGAGAACGTAACTAAAACTGATATTGACGAAGCTAAGTTAAGTATTCACAAATTTGTGGAACTAACGGAAACTTTATATGGGCCAGAATTTTTGTTATTTAATTTGCACCTCCATTTACATATGCCAAGATGTGTTAAAGATTGGGGTGCACTGTGGGATAGTTCGGCATTTATGTATGAACATGGCAATGGCATTCTAGTGCAACTTTTCCATGGTACAGGATCTGTCATATCTCAAATTTTTAAGCGTTATGAACTCACAAATTTCCTTCAAAAAACAGGTCCAACTGTTTTTAGTGCGAACACATTTACTCCAGCAATTGATCTGTTTGGACAGCTCGTTGGAGAGGAATATTTTGTTCAAAATGCGATAAGAGAAAACGAAGATTTGGTTCTATTTGGTAGTAGTAACGAGTTTGTTCTGACCCAAGAAACTTCACTGTTAATTGAGAACTTATTGGGGTATAATTTTATTAATCAAAATAACAAAATTCAGGTTTCTAGTTTCAAAAGATTTATCTGGAAACATACAATGTTTCACTCTACATCGTACGCGCGATTAACTAAAAGACTGAATTCCATTGTAAAATTATCAAATGAAAAAATACTCCAAATTGATCATTTATTGCGTATTCGCATTAATGAAGAAAAATATTTTGTTCTCATTGGTCAACAGCTAATACTGAATACTGGTGTAATAGTGGCCAATTACTCACCATTAAAAATATCCAGCTCTAAGTTTTTAAATGTAGTAAAAATAAGTAATGGCCGCGTTTTTTGTTGTATGGTTAATGATATATATGAAAAATGTCTTTGCATGAATATCAATGGTATAACGTATGTAAGCACATTAATTAATAAATCAGAAAAAGATTAGAATTAATAGATTTTTTTTAGATATTTTTATACAAATAAGGCTCATTGAATAAATATGTATCAAAGACATGTACAAATAAAATATATATTCAGTTATGCACGCACAATTATTATATATATATATATAATTGAATGTTTTATATTGCTATATATATATAATAATATGTATTATGTACACACTATATTCAATGGCAAAATATATCGTATACTCTACTGATACTCTACTCGAATGATTTTTATCTTCTAATATATACCGTATATATAAAACATAAAAATATATAGCAAAATATATTACACCACTACGAATGATATATTCCTATTGACATAAATTCACTGGCAAAATATATTACTACTGATCGAATAGTACTCCTATTGATGAGTATCCAATGGTAACTAATATATACTATTGATCGAATGATGTTCCTATTGACATAAATCGATGGCAAAATATATTACTACTCGATCGAATAGTACTCCTATTGATGAGTAACCAATGGTAACCAATATACTATTGATCGAATGATATTCTTATTGAGGTACATCCAATGGTAAATATTTTATCACTGACCGAAGGATTTTCCTATTAAACACCTCAAATAGTAAAATCATTTATTAATGACAATGTTATTGAGTTTGTATGATTTTATCATTAGTTCAAATGATTTTACCATTAATCTGAATGATAATACCATTCACACTTTTCGCGACGGGAAGAACAAATCTTCAATCTTTGTTGCTAGTAAAAATATAATGGTCTCAGAAAAAAAATGCAGAACTTTTATATAAAAAAGGAAACCTAAAAGTTCAATATCCGATCGGAATACATTGAAATCGACGATCTGATAAAAATTGGAGAATCGCGGAGTTCAATCGCAGAAGATTGGAAAATTGGAAGTTTCAAATTGCGCAACGCGCGTCCGCGATATCGTTTATATAAATTGTTCTGTTTTAGTCTCGCTTTTCATCGAACTCGATTTTGCTCGACACCTGATATGCGATACGTTTATTTTCCTCTTATGTTGGAACAAAATCATAGCTTATCGCGTCCGCCTTCGTAAAAGTTTCCGCTGTTCGGTCGCATATGCCGCGGCATTACCATGCGTCTTGCGCGTTCTGCGACATTATTAAATCGTGAATTCTTGTAGAGCTCGTGATATATATCTGCCACTTGGCCTGCCATTACGTTACAACCTGACGCCGAAAACCAGAGAAATTTATGCCCGGCGCAAATTCCGTTGAAACTTTAGTCGCACCGATCTCGGGGATCGGCCCGCGCTTTGCATGTATTGATTCCTCGTATTAATATGAATCCGCGTTTCCTTACCTCGATCTGTTTGCTCTTCTGTTGCAGAACGAAGCCGGCAGAGTGCGAGGGAGTGTCGCGCTCGTAAGAAGCTGAGGTATCAATACCTGGAGGAGCTCGTAGCCGATCGTGAGAAAGCAGTGATTGCCCTTCGAAAGGAGCTCGAGATGGTGAGTCGTATTTTTTTTCTCGAGCCTTAACCGAATGAACGAATAAAATCTGGAAAATTCTTAGAAAAGAATCCAGAATAGAAATAAATTATTTTCTCTCTAGAAATATTATATTATTTATTCATATAAATGAGATATATGAATCAAATTCTTGAATAAATTTTAGCCAATATTGCTAAATTTATTAATAACACTTTAAGGTAATAAAAATAAAAGAATAGAAAACAATATTTATTTGCGATATAAAAATTTTTCTCTTTTTTTGTGGAGAAAAAGATATATGCTTCAAAATTTTTGAATTAGTTATATTTCAAACATTACAAAGCAAAGCTAATTCTTCGGAAGCTGGAAGTACCTAGTAACTTCTTCTTTTCCATCATCTTTCTCATCACCTTCCTTAACCTTCTCTCGAACTGGAAATTAAGTTACTCAGAGAAGTGTAAAGTTCTAGCGAAATACAAAGGGTCTCTCTTTAAGCAATACGACTAGGAATATCATTTGCGTCTGCATTACTTCTGCAGAGAAACATTTATTAGAATTATTGAAGTTATAAAATTATTCACATTAAGTTCATTGATTGATCAACAATGAATTTTTAATTTTATGGATGCTTGCGAACGAAATTTTTTGCAAATTTTTTTTGCAAGTAATTTTATATATAAATTGATATTTTATTTGTATTTGTATTGTGCTAATACTTGATAAATACACGGAAAAAAATTAACCACTATAGCTAAATTTTGTCCCTATATTACAAACTGAAATTTAGTCATTATGTCTATTTTAACTATAGTAATATTTTTTAGCTAGAGCTTAACAAATAATTCTATAGTTAAAAAATATTAGCTATTATAGCTAAAATTTAAGCATAATAACTATTTTTTATGTGTAATATAGGAATAGCTAAAATTTAGCTGTGGTTGATAATTTTTTCGTGTATGAATTTAAATATTTTTTTTTAATTAAAATGCGGCGGAATATGATAAAGGCAAAAACCTTGTTTCTAAAACGCTTCAAATTATGAAATCGGATTATATCAATTTACACTAAAAAAAAAATTGTTAATTTGACTAAATCTTTCAACTAAATTACTATTTTGTTAATTGAACATATATTAGTATTTAAGTCAAATATATATACGTTTTGTTATACATTTAATATATTATATTTAATTTAAGTATTTTTACATGTTCAATTAACAAAGTAATATTTAGTTGAAAGGTTGAGTCAAGCAAACAATTTTTGTGCTGTGTATTGATTATTGATTGGTACCGAATTTGTTCTTTGTTTTCGTCGATTGAGACGCTCGTTAACGAAGTGCTCTGAAAATATTTGACATCGATATCTGATGTCTGATATAGAAGCTTGTATCGTTTCATCGAAAGTTCTTATATCGACAAAGCCGCGAGTATTGCAAGTGGAAGAACAGTTGAAAAGTTCCGACAAGACTGCGCTCCTGTCCGTGTCCGTCCACGAAGTCATTTTCAAATCCTTCCGATTTCTTCCTCGATCTCCAGCATACAACAGGGCTAGTACGTACATCGAATGAGATTCGACTGAAATGGAGCTTATACGTTACTTTTACACATCACCATTTGTTATCTTTCTGCAGTATCGTCAGTGGACGCAAGAATTGGACTCCGGACAAGTCCCCGAAGGACTACAGGCGATGTTGGAGGAATTCGGCTCGATGAAACGCGAACAGTCCGGCAGCAACTAAGCTGAGGCAAGGAGGCAAGGAGGAAGTGACGTCCAGCAGTTTATGTTGTTACTTCTGTCGAAATATCTCCCTCCCGCGTAGTCGAGCTTATTTTCCGTCTTCTCTTCCTTTCTCTTTCTCTTTCACGATTCTTCGAGGCAATAAGGAATAATTGGCTTGTAATTTGAAATTTTCTCTTTACTGTCCTATTCTCCTATTCGATCTCTTAAAGAAATTGCGAATGTAGTCGATACTTCGGTTTTTTTCGAGATTTTTTCGTTTTCACTAGACTAAAGGAATTCTGCCTGCTATTTTTCTCTCGATTGTCTCACGAAAGGTGGAATCGTTTTCGATTACCTCGTTACCTCATGTGTTACTTTTTTTATGTACGTACGTTTTGTTATCGTCGTGACTCGTTGACACATATTTTTTATGCTTGTTGATTAAGGACATTGAACGGTCGATTATCTACGGCCTCACGCTTGAAATATACCTCCCTCATTGTACGATTGTTGCGGTGTAAGAACGTATAGATATATCGCTGTTATTGTACGCCTCGAAGGAAAAAAAAACAATCGTTGTGTATCATACAAAGTCTATTCAGTATTGTCTGTTTAAAGAGCGTCGTTGCGGGAGCTTCTCGTTAACTGTTTGCCAATTTGTTTAAACTGTACTGATACACGGTATTCTTGTACTGTGAGAAATTATCATTTTGTACAAATCAGCGCCATAACAAAAGTTAATTCGTATATGTGTGCACGGAAGAGTCTAATTATCGAATAAAACCGATATTTTTCGATTAAAATTATTCTCTTATTGACATTTATTGTTCCCTATTTTTACACTGATTTTTATATAAGAAAACATCATACACTGAAAAAATTGTTAACTTGACTGTTTTTAATTAATAAATAATATTTATAAATAATATAAATAAATTTAATTAAATATTATTTTATTAATTAAAAACAGAAATATTTTAATTAAATATAACACATTAAATATAACAAAACGTATATTTTACTTAAATACTAATATATGTTCAATTAACAAAATTTAGTTGAACGGTCAAGTTAACAAATTTTTCCAATGTAGAAACGTTAAAATTTTTTTTAATTTTCTTGCTTGACAATGCAGCATTTCTGCCACGCAAGAATTTCCGATCGAATAAAAATGCGATTTTTTTTAGATCTCGTACAAGAAACGTATATCCGTCGACGTTGTTTCGAATTTTAGATACCGCGATTTCGCGATGCGCTTTTGCGCGATGAAAATTTGCATATTTTGACATGAAATATGTTGGGCCATGAAATCTTTGCTGCTGCCATTGGCATAGATTGCAATGCACAGATGCATATCAGCTCTTGCATTCAATCTGTATCATTCGGTAGCTTGTTGAAAAGAAGAAAAAATTGATAGATCCAATATTGTTGTTATCGCGATAGCGTTCAGAAATTTCAAACGAATTTTGTTACACAATTTGGCTTTGAGCTTTAAACAGCTCGAACAATATTTATGAGTTTAATGTGTAATAATGATTTATGATCATAGTAATGTTATATAAGGTGATATTGATTGAATTTAATGTCATGAATAAGAGTTTATAATTTGATACAATAATTTAATGACATTTTATTCTCAAATGAGAATTACTGTTTTTTGACCACTTGGCGTGATAAGCGTGAATATCAAACAGATTTATTAAAATATTTAAATTTAATTTTCTGCATTTAACTTTATATTGACAGTGTTAAAATTTAATGACATTTTTTTTTATTCTTGAGTGGATTATTGTTTTTTTTATCACTTGACAATGTATGGAAGAGTGATATGCGTGAGTATCAGATCGATTTATTCAAATATTTAGCTTTATGTCGCTATTGCTGAAAATATTTTGAAGTGATGTATTTGTGCGAGATTTGATTTCCTG